TTAGACAGTTCTTAGCAATAAAACACGTCTCAGAGATGATATTCGACACATTTTTGCGCCCCAAATATACACTACACATCTCCTGAAAAGGTTTTCAAAAACGATGATAATGACGGTAACACAAAGGGAGGGAAAGTCAAATTGTGGTTTTCCAGCTAAGTGGCTTGAATACTTTCAGTCGCTTTAACACATTATTTGATTGGGGGTTGTCAATTAAGCAATCTCACAGGTACCTCGGATTCTACTTCATTATTTTACTGGGTGGAAGGAAAAAGATTAGAAACTAGAATAAATGATTTAATTGAAGCTGCAATTTGTGTGTCTTTGATTCTAATAATAGATGTGACGGAATTGAACAAGTATGGTGTCAGTTAGTTGAGATTTGAACCTCACCCACTGCAAATCAGAATTCTGACAGACAGAAAAGAAAAACTATCGACTTTTGCAAAACTGTTTAGTCATCGTTTGTTCAAGAGCATGTGTGTTAGAATAACTCCAGGGTACTGAATGGCAAGTTTTTTGACAGAGCGCTGGTGATCGATGATCTTTTATTTGGAAAAACAGTCACGCGACGCTGCACAAATAAAGCCGAAAAACGTGTTGCTGTCTGTCCTCATTAGCATAGTACAGTGAGATTGTAAAGAACAAAAAATATTATAGGCACCTTTGTTAAGCTATTGACGCTAATGATTTCCATGTTTCTGTGAAGGCAAAGCAAGAAGGATATGGAACTGTTAAGCTTGCACAGTTCAGATTCCTATCGTTTGATAGTGACCGAATCAATTAACTGGAGAATTATCGCGTTCTGTGTGAAGAAAGCTCAGAAAGCTTTGATCGTGTTCACTTGACGTTCAATCGCTATCAGGCAGTCAGCGATTGTTGATTCCAATTAGCGACCTTTGGTACCTCCTGGCCTCGGCAGTTTCACTTGGACTCGTTCCCTTTTTTGAATCAACGAGGGAACACGTTTTGCTATGATTTGTCTAAGCTTATTCCCCGCTCAGCTTAGCTAGATAGCCGAGTACCTGTATCGGAGTTGATTCAGTTGATTGTAAATGACATACTGCAGAAGCGAAAATTTAACTGAAGGAACTGAGATTATCTCGCAGGTATAAAATCTGACAGGTTTGACTGCATTGAGGCCCCGTGTGGTGCACTGATTCGGACAATTTTCCAACAACCTATTTACGTCTCTACCCTTGGAGGAATTAGTAGAAAAACTCTGATGTTTGACGCTGATATACGTCAACAATTCTACTTTATGAAGTTAAACGCTGCACGATTTTACAGACTAGTCTGGATAATCGGTCGAATGGTACACCTAACTCAATGTTTACGCTTTTTCCTCGACATAGTCAGGTCAACACACTCTCCTCACACGGTCGCAATGCGTTCTTACTAGTCCTCTTTTGAATCGAACGAGAATGATTCGGTTAAATGCAAATATTGACTCAGTCGCCTATGTTATTGGCTAACAATTATGGTAGTTTTTCTGAATGTCTTACCATAGCGAAAAGGCAAGCCGTCAGTAATTTGATGTTCCGTAGTTACGTTCATGTTTATGTGAGTGATAACAAGGTCTTGGAATAAATCCAAAGCATCCAGTTTAGCTTCTGTTGCGACGAAAAGTTCACTCATACACCGCATGTACGACTAAGTCTTCATGCATTCCGTAAATATATTCCGCAAAATCGACCCTTAGGCGATGCCCATGGCTACGTTATTGGTTGACGATAATGTGATAAACTGTGATATCCCCATAAGGTGCGGTATCAAACCTTCATGAAACTTGAAATCATTTTCAACAGAAAATAGATTACTGGCTCTGTTGCGTTCAGCCCTGTCCAAACGTTAAATATGTGAGCTCTGATTCTGTTGCCACTTTGTACTATCACTCGGTGGAATAAAACGATAAACAAAAAGCATACAAGTAGAATGAAGAACAACTTGTGGCCTGGTCTGTGAGTAGGTTGTTTCAAGTATGAGTCCGTGAAGAAGAAAATGGGTAGCTTTTTTGCATCTAGTTTTCAATCTGTTTAGTGCACGCGAATGTTGTATGAGAACAAGGCCGTTCCAATACAAACTCTCAAGTTGTGTAAAAAGTCTTGGGTTTAGTCAGATTTGTGTGAGTGTGCAAGCTTCAGTCGATCTACTTAATCGCAAACTGTGAGATGGCGTGATGAAATAAACTACCTCGGCCAGATCAAGGAAATGGTCAGTGTTCGAAGTGTGATGCGCTATGAAACGCAGAGATAATTGATCACTTCGCATTACGAGGTCCTTTAGTTTAGTTCACTTCAGTTTAGTCAGGCTGGAAAAACCAACATTAATGCATTGAATGATGTTGTTCTGATTTCTGTTGCGAGGCGGAAAATCCGAAACAAGAACCATAAGTCTAACAGAAAGAATAAATACAGTACTGGGCTATAAAAGACGGTATTATTTTAAAAACTAAACTGCATGATTGCAGAAATTCCAAAAGTCCTATTCAGCGGCACCATTTTCACATTATTGTTTGTAAGTGCAGTGAAAGGAGCATACTCCTCGAGCACGAAAGTTAGGGATTACCGGCAACGTAATTCTGAGACACGGATTTAACATCCATATAAGGTCGCATTAGGCCAGTCGTGGTGAGGAGCCGGGCGACAATGGATTCCTGTCCAACACGGAGAATTTAGAGTAACAACGCCATGTGTCTCTGAGTGTGGGTTTTATTATTGCTCATTAATTTTCCAGTTAGCCGATGTTTTACTTGGAACACTTTATTTCGCTTTCATTATCATTTGTAGCTGGGCTTTGCACAGAAATTCCGATCAGCGGAAAGCAAGTAGTGTGCACGAAGCCGGTGTTCAGTGATTTAGGAATTTAAAGTGTTCTGAGGGCATTCTAGGCTGGCCTTATGCAACTGTCGCATGAAATTTGTGCTGGCGTTTTGTAGATAACGCCTTTTTATCACCACACGTCAAAAGTACCACTGTAGACTTGCCTGAGTAGCCACACACAGGATACGGATATCAAAGAAGTTTGAATTACTCTCCCAGTCGCGAATAACAGCAGCCCTTTGATGTATTGCTATTAGTAAGAATCACTGAAAGTGGAGTTGTTCGATACTCTGAGACTGTTGCAATCCGAAAACATTTGTCGGATTTCCTTAGTGTGTGTTCCACAAACTTGGAATTTTTGAGTAAGGACAAATAAATCTACATATACCACTGTTTTATTATTGAAGCATGTTTCGCGTTTCCGATTCACAAGATATCAAGAAGACGACTTTATTGCTTGTTTGGAGACTGAAAAGTACACATATTGGTCAAATCTAAAAATTAACATTATATAACGTGCAACCACATTTTCGTGTGCTGGAAGTGATACTTCAATTCGATGATTTACTTCCAAGATCAGTGACTCGAAATAAATATTTTTTCTCCTTTAAGCAAGGCTTTCGTTGAAGAAGCACACACCTTCACAGCGAGCAAAAAAAAAGTCAGTTTAGTTTTCCAGTTACATTGTAAAAAAAGGCTCCATGGGAAAAATAATGTCCATCTCACGGCAGCATTGTTTAGTTTCAAGCTTATTCGCGTTTGTCCTATACAAGCCAAATGTGATCACCTCTCGCGATGTATTCACGATGGCCTTAGTTGTTTTGCAATAAGTCCTAACAAATCCTCACTGGGTAGCTGAAAATAGTATCAGATGTTGTGAAACTCTCCTCTTCAAACTTTTTGTCTTACGTACCTAGGTGTTCGGTATTCACGAAACTGTGCGTTCCTAGTCACAGACGAACTATATGGTAATCTAATCACAACACTTTTCGTCTGATGGTAATTTTTATCATGTGCTTAGATCTTGTTTCTTGACCACATGATCCGAGGAAAACATAACAACTGGAAAAAAAACTGTCTTTTTATCAGTAATTGTACTCATCAGCTTGCTTGTCGCAAAACTGGTTAAAGAAAGCAAGTGAAACGTGTACACTCCTCTCATCGAATAGCACTTGTATTTGCACGCCGGACGTGCGTAATTACTGTGCCAACATTTCAGTCGGCGTTTTCATTGTCAGAGAGAGCTTTGTGTATGTCCTCATAAATCGATCAGTTTAGGCATCAACGCTCAAATTGAGGAGGACAGCAATGTTCAACCACCCGCACATGGCTATTTTAGTCCTACCTTCAATTCTAACTGAAAGTAAAAGTGAACGAAGAAGTAAACCGGTAAGATATTGGAAAAATGTCTAGTATGGAATTTCGACATTCAATCTGCTGAAAAAATCGATCCACAGCGAATCCTTTTCATCTCGTTCACAGATTACATGATAAACACTACATGAAAAAGAGAACATGCGGATAGGCATGGATAAGGGTCAATCAGGGGTAGTGGTTTCCCACTGTCAGATATCTTTGGCATACGACTGACTTATCTGCCTTATACCATCTTAGGGACAGGATGATGAATACACCCGGCTTTGTGCATAGCTTGGTTATGAAAGTTGTAATATCTAGACCTGGCGATTCTGGCATGGTAGACAGAGGCCAACTTCCTTATTTTTATGGTTTAATCTATCAATAGAGTGTAAAAATGAACACCAGCATTTGCTTGAGAGATACGATGAACAAAATTATGATTAGTCTTCGGAATCACTTGATGCAAGATGTCGATCTGAGTGTTTGCACTCGCACCTCACGGCGAGAGACAAACCTAGTAACTTGATTTCTATCCCTTGCGCCAAAAACGTCAAGCTCAGGCATTCCAACTTCCTTGGCCCAGTAGAGACCAAGGCCGGGCAAATCCATCATCTTGTCACCGAGAAGAAGTAAGAAAGATAAATCAGTCACAAACCAAAGACATCTGGCAGGGAAAACCTTACCCATAATTATATTCCAACTGAATTTCTGTCATACCATGCGTATTTTTCACAATATTTTTCGTTTTTTTTACTGAAATTGAACGAAGTGATTCCTGAACGTATTTCAGTCATGACACTCAACAATTTCATTGTACAGTTTCCCGAGGTCGCTCGTTCACGAGCCTCCTTCGACTGGGCTAATCGTCATGCACAAGATGAACAAAGTCGCCCGGATGTTGGTTCACTTGGGTCAAAGACAAACACGGCATTTGACGGTTTCGATAGACTACATGCTGTCGTTGATGCGTCACAAGGACGGGGAAAATCGCACAGTCCAGAAATGCGGCTAGTAGACGATCAGAAGCACCGGCAACAACTGAGACGTGGAACCTCATTACGTTTTACACATTTCTCTGCCCTTCGGGAGGACAAAAACCATCTCAAGCCCACAAATCACAGCCCCTCAGACCGCGCAGAGAAAACGCCAGAACGTGAAGCGGATGGGACTTGGAATAAAGGGGTCTCGGAAAGACGTCGGAAAATGAAAATGTAAGTGATGACATTGCTAACCTCGGAAAGAACTACAGCAATTAGAAAATAATGGAATAAAAGAATAAATAAATGAAAGTACTGAGTGACTTGAAGATTTTCTGACTGATTTGTAGAATGGTTTACTCGCTGACTGATTGGTTGATGGGCTGAATAGTCGGTTGACTGACTGGTCGATTCATTGATTGGCTGATTGAATGATTGATTGATTAATTGATTGATTGATTGGTTGGTTGGTTGGTTGGTTTGTTGGTTGGTTGGTTGGTTGGTTGGTTGGTTGGTTGGTTGGTTGGTTAGTTGGTTGGTTGGTTGGTTGGTTGGTTGGTTGGTTGGTTGATTGGTTGGTTGACCGATTGATTGATTACCGATCAACACAGGCAGTCCATGTTTGGTGCTCGAAAGTACGTTTTCTTTGAGCGCATTGCGATCACCCTTATCACTTCTTTGACCTTACAACGTTTTCTTCTGGTAATTCAAATTTTTGTTCAGTGTTAAACATTCAAAATCATTGTTCTGCACTCTTGGCGAAAATCAGGATAGGATAGCAATGGGACAGTTGATAATGTGCAGATGCAAAAGTCCGTATTTTATTGCGCACAAATACTGGAATTTTCGAATGTTTCTCATACCAACGCAAGCGGATCTAGCGGTTCCTCATATTTAATAAATATTTCCATGAACGACCGCTGTTACGTAAACAATTACCCCAACTGCAGTGTGCACGTTTCAAGATGCAGGGAAAGATTTCTGATATAGTGAATAAGCCAATGTGTTTGGCTCCTTTGTTCAGACTTTATTTTTTTTTGAAGTTTCTTTACAGCAGTGCCTATAGCCTTTTTTCGTCTTCACACAGAAATGTCTATTCCCTTTCCAGAACACTTATGTGAAAAAGAACAAAGTACAGAAATTACTGTATGATTTCATTGCACTATAGTGAAGTGAGCACGATAGCCGATGGGTTTGCTTTTGGTAACTTCATCCTCTGGCTAAGGCAGTTACCTTTTCAAGGTTGGAATGCATGTTCATGATACATGTTCACAATATCAAGTATGATACAATAATCGGTGTTGTAGATGGCAAAACGTTTAGAGGAAGCAAGAATGTTTATCAATCTAGTATGGTAAAAATGAACATTATTCTCTTGAGTTAAACTAAAATTTAACCAAAATTATTTTGTTACCATGAAAAATATTTCTAAATATGCATTCGTACTAAGCGTGTAACTCAATAAGCTAGAGGATAAAGCTAGACAAAACCATCTTATTCCCTATCGTGTTCGTTCCCTTTTAAAGTACATAGTCACCACTGACTTTCAATTTAGTAAAAAATGTTCTCAAATACAAATATTCCGGAAGAAGCCAACAGCATTATCAAGTCATATTCAGGTGCAATTTTGTAGGAGATTCGCGCTAGTGATGATAGTGCTATTTAGTTAAATAGCAACGTGAAAGAAGAATAAGAAGGCAAGACTATTCAAGAGGGGTGCGATTCAGTGGTACTGTCATCCGCTCTCTTGTCTTCTGAGAGCAGTCTGTACTCAGTACTATGCATGAATTCATTTAAAAGCTATTAATGTGCCCGCTTTTATCATTTTAATGCTCGAAATTTCAACCTTCTTTTTCTCAAGTGGTTTGTCTTAACTTTTTCTTAAGACCGAAGAGAGAAAGAGCAAACTTCAGCTGGGTTTCTTGAAATCTTGACCCGGTATGCTGGACGTTAGCATTGCTGTTCATCTGAACACACAGTTTTCTTACTTACACTGATTCATTTCTCCCCAAAAAAATTCACGAAAGACGGAGTAAATGTATATCCATGTTCTTAACGTTTACGCCCTGAACGGTCTTCATAACCGTCAGTTTGCATTTGGGCATTCTGATAGGACCGCAATAAAATCTCCAACAAAATTACTCTGGGATAGATGACAGTTTTTATAATATAATCGACATTAATTTTTCTACATTGTTGGTAGTGAATAAGAACGTTAGATTAGTGGATAACCGGCTTTGGTTTCTCTGATATTATTCTTACTTTCGCAATTCAGATTTCCCTTCGGTAGTCTCTCTCCTATTCCGCTGTTTTCCTGAAATGTGGTGTCCATTCTAACCAAAGGATAAATAAAATACGAAAAGTGAAAAATACTTGTGATACTTTGAAAAATATTGCCAACTAGAGGATCTATCGTTAATGTTAGCAAAACAGAACTGATATTGCCACATGGGCCAAAATTGATGCTGCTCCTTCAGTTCAGTTCAGTTCAGTTTATTCAATCATTAACCTCGCACTTCCGTGCTCTGGTTTCGGTTGCTACCTTCCAGCATCGTCCAGTAAAGGGCGAAAAGAATAGAAGCATAGTGATAAACATCCAAAAAGTCGAAGTACTAAGAGGAAATCAAGACGATAAGGAAAGAGTCCGAATCCAACTACGCTACTGACCGCAACACCTAGACATACCACTTATTGTCTCCAACCATTTAGTGGGCGGATCACGCGGACCCCAACCTGGATGTCTGACACTTTTTACTCGTGAAAATCCACTAGTCAAGATTTTCATACCTTTTTGCCATGTCATGGACCGGCCACCTCGAACTACCTTCTAATCACCACCTGCCTCAGAGAATAGCGCACGCTAAGGAAGTCTATAGGTGGGCATGCCTAGCACATGTCCCAACCACCTTAACCTGTTTAGATTCAGCACGATCCAGAGACTGACCTGTGATCCCCAACACCTGAAGCCGAACCCCGCATTGCTGATACGGTGTTCCCACAATACTCGGGCAATGCTACGGACAGATCGGTGCCCGAACATCGACAGTCTTTGCCTACCTTCTACCCCCAATGGCTGTTTTGGAACCGCATAGAAGAACGGACCTAACCAACGCATTGTACACTCTACCCTTAACAGACTATCGGATGTCACGCCAACACCACAGATCACGGAGGTTGGCAAAAGCCAAACACGCCTTCTCTATACGCGATGACACTTCATCCGTTATCTGTCCACTGGTGAAATGTAACTGCTTAGGTAAAAAAATTTATCCACTTCAGCTAGAGCTTCCCCGACCAACACAAGGTTTAGTGTTGAGCCGACCCAGTCCTGCAACAGCACTTCACACTTTGAAGGTGCAAAACGCATCCCAAACATTCCTACACTGTTGTTGAGGCTATCTAAAAGAGCTGTGCATTCGTTAAAATTGTGGTGTTATGATTAAATTAACAAGACTGAAAAAGTGCCAAATAATCATGTGATGAATCGAAAATTTTAGCCTATTGTGCATCACAGCTAAGTGAATTCCAGCAAATCAGACAGAGATTTAGCACGGAATTTAGAAGATCATCTACAAAGTGAGGTTTCGTGTGAATCATTTTGATGTTCACTATAAGCATAAGCTGAGCAAGGGCAAAGCTTGTTTACCAATTGAAAATCCACTGATTCACCAGAGTTGCTTTCTCCAGCTCATCCGAAATTATCCACTGCAGTGAATGTGCGCCAAGATGAAACTTGGATTAGAATCCGAAGAGCAGTATCGTGATTATCAGAGAGCAACAGTTAGATTCTCACAACCAGCTCTTAACGACATGCTTTCTGTCCACGGTACATTAGAGAATGGTTGATTCCTGTAAGTGCGAAGAGTCAGTAAAGACCAGGACCAGTGAACATCGTGCCCTTTTCTTTAAGGTTTGGAATTCACATCTGGATTCCACATGACTGCTATTCAAACTTTGTTCTCCTTCTCATTAAGCGCTCACACGGTAACTGCGTTAACCACGAGGATATCAACCGCATCCAAGTGGAGTCCAGGCTGTCTGTTGTCCTACCTTGACTGCGCCTTGGTTGCTTGTACCCACAGATTAAAAACGAGAAACTAACTTTCCTCGTGTCAGAAAACTTCGTGATTGAGTTGGTCGAAGGTAACCTTCAGACCAATGAAGACAAAAATTATAGGCCTACCGGAGGAGTTCTAGTGTTTGTGACCTGTCTTGGGCTAAAGTATGATTGACATAAAACTGAGCGAGTCCAAAACTAGCTGGATTCTCGTGTATAAGTTGTTCACGAGCGCTGAACAACTGTCGGAAGATAAGCGCGAGCAGTAACTTTTGTGATATCAAAAAGCAACCTTTTGAGGGAATAGTGACGACTGCTTGTATCGTTTAACTTGCAGGTATCATTAGAAGTTCCGTTATAGCGGTGTGCTGACTGAATCATGCCTAATGGGATTGGTCGCAGCTTCCTTTCTCTCCTAAGTTTTTCAACCAATCACTGCTAGAAATCAGTCCTCAAGCTTCCAGATAGAGGGTGCATTCGGGCTTTGTTCGCCTTATCTAAATTGGCATCAGGTGGGACTAAACTGTGGTCTTCTAAGAGAGCCTTTAGTTTCTAAAGCATCCATTGCTTGCGAGATTTACAGAGCCTGGATTAATACGTCTAGTAGTCTACAACCCACAAGGCCTCCTTTATCTTTTGCCGAGTATCACAGGGACTCTGGACAAATATATGTATATATATGTATATGATATATATATATATATATATATATATATATATCATCGTACAGCGTTAAACAGTAGGGCAAGCCCTACTGATCACCGCCTTTCTCACCATGTTGCACGTTGAATTAAGAAGTATGAATATACAAGATGGCCAAGGACTGGACCTACATGGGTGGGAAAAGGAAAGAATGCCCTAGTAGCCAACACACGAAATACACAGTCTAACTGTACAAACTCACATCGATCAGTCATTCTGATTCGATAGAAAGTGACAACACGATCGCCACTATTCTCGGTTCGCTGCCATATCCTTCAGTGTCTCCAGCCAACTGGTAGACGGATCTTTTGGACCCCAACCACGAAGACGTGAAGCACCTACTTTTCCTAAGTTTGCTGTACATTTTCTCATTCCTCGCTGCCACGTCATCTGTTGACCTCCACGTGCTCTCTTCCACTCCCTAGGAGGGGCGGAGAATAGGACACGGTATGGTAGACGTGTGTTTGCCATACGT